CAGTTGACATCTTGGTTTAACGTCACCACAGATTCAATAGTTGGCCTTCTGGGAGGTGCATTCGTATACTGTTAAAATATGTTGACATCTTGGTTTAACGTCACCACAGATTCAATAGTTGGCTTTCTGGGAGGTGCATTCGTATACTGTTAATATCAGTTGACATCTTGGTTTAACGTCACCACAGATTCAATAGTTGGCCTTCTGGGAGGTGCATTCGTATACTGTTAAAATCTGTTGACATCTTGGTTTAACTTCATCACAGATTCAATAGTTGGCCTTCTGGGAGGTGCATTCGTATACTGTTAATATCAGTTGACATCTTCATTGAGGTGGTTTCATTCTAGTTATCTTTGTTGTTCTCTATAACTGATAACTACTTTGTCCATGAGGATGTTGCAGCAATGTCGCACATTAATGTAGAAAATGGTCAGTGATTTTAATGTCCTTTGAGTGGCCAAATGGATGATGTCTGTATGTTACAGCCTAGAAATGTTTTATGAGAATTACAGGAATGCACAGAAAAGAATCAAGGTTTTTCTGTAAGTCCAAAGACTTAGTACTTTGTAAAGTTCTACCTAGTTTTCTGAGTGTTTTGATCGACAGAAATCTGTCTCTTGAAAACAAAGTTAATGATCCATTCACTAATCCAGTAGAGGCGACTGTCCTTTTGTTTTCTTCGTGTTTCAAAAGATTGTTTGAAACTCTCAAACATGAGGCCAATCCAATTATTTCTCATGACTTGTATGTTTGAAGTTAAGCACAAAGCTACACAATGGGTTATCTGTGCTCTGCCCACCACGGGTATCGAAACCCGGTTTCTAGCGTTGTAAGTCCGCAGACATACCGCTGTGCCACTGAGGGGCTTCTCATGACTTAAAACTCGATTTTAAAATTCAGATCACTTTACAAACTTCCTGTTCAATCCTCCCGTTATTAAGTTGACTCATCTGATGTCGACGAGGAAATTACTTTTTCTAGAATACTTTGTAAGTTTAACTTCACCATATTCTGGAGTTTACTACTGCAAATGAAGATTTAAGTTTTCATAAACATCTTTCAAGATAGTTTTGTATTTTAAGCCTATTTGAAAATGTTTAAAACGTATATTGTTCTTAGCACATTTTTTTTCTAAGATCAGTTTTTGTTAAGGATTATTTATAACGTTTCTCTTATAGAGTAGAGAGACTTTAAAACTCACAATTTACAGAAACCAATCTTTATGTACTTGAGCAAGTGTAAATATTGAACCTAATATATTTCTTCTATTTTATAAGTTAGGCCTATTCACGGAAGCCATGGCACTGGATCTGTATTTCAAAAACAGAGTGGGACCTTCCTTCAACTGCGCTTTAGCCTCGATGGACTCGGTCATCTCAACTCTTAGCAACTACGACGTCTCAAAACACAGTAATTTTAAACGCGTGATACCCCAGTTACGCTACGATATTCGTAATGTCTACGATCAAATGCAAGAAGCCAACGCCATAGCTTCCGACGTGGTACGACAATCCAATGAAGAGTTGGAAGATTTAGTTAAGGAGGAAGGAACTCTAATGCAAGAGAAGACGAATAAAGAAGAAGATGTCGCGGAGCTGAAAAACATTATCGATGGTTTACAAACTGAGAAAAATGATATCGAAAATAAAGTGGAGGAGAGCAAAAGGGAAGAAAAGGAAGCGAATCGTCTACTAGAATCTGCTAGAAACGAGCTACAAGCGAAACGAAATGAACAAAACGTTGTGCGTGGGGTTGGTGTTGGTCTGTTTGCAATTCCTGTAGTTGGATGGATCGCGGGAGCTGGATTGGTGGCTCTGAGCTTCACGGCATTGGAAGAAAATGTAGCGAGTGCAGTAAAAGCTCGTGACGATGCTCAGGATCACGTTAATTCCACTCAAAGGCAGTTAAAGAATAACATTAAAGAACTTGATGAGAACAAGAAACGTATGAAACGAAGAAAAAATGAACTTTCGGCAATAAATGAAAGACTACGAAACGTGAAACGACAGTTGAAGGACCAGAGAATGAACGTCAGCAGACAAGCGGAAATGAACGATAAGATAAAACAATGCTTCCATTTCGTTAGTGTTTGTTTTGGTCGAACTGATGTACTGGAGTTTCAGAGTCGACACCTGTTTTGTTTTGAACAGTTAGTACTTCCCCTTAGGGAGTTATCCTCCCACCTACTTGGAGCCCCCCAGAATCACTATAGGTGTATACAAGGTGACTTTGATGTTAAGACCGTGGGCAAAAAACTCAGACAAATTTGTGACAAGAACCCAGACGTTGTTAATAAGATGTTAGAAGACTTTCTGTAAATATTTATAACGTTCTTGTCAATGTTTATATGTAAACATTTTTTCTATACTATGTATTTTTTTCAGATTATAAATTTCAGATAAGGGCTAAAATGATCGTCATTACATCCAAATGTTTTAATAATATATTGTAAGTCATTTATTAAATAAAAGCTGTTTGGTTTGTTTCTGATTGGGTATATTCAGTGTGTTAAAAGCACGTGCTTGTACTGAACCGTTCAATGTAGGCATTACTTGATCAAATAAATAATATCATAAAAAGTTACTCAACTACTGTAACCTGGTGGATAACAATCGAACTTGAGTAACTCGTGAAAAGGTAAATAAATCTTTAACCCTAGTGAATATATATCGTCGTTACTTCATTGTGAGATCAGAATGTTTTAACCAATACTGGGTCAAAGGTTTGCCACAAAGTTTAAAATAAAATAAACTGTCAGGTGACTGTAGAAAATAATTCAAAATGGCCGCACTGTTTTTCACGAAGTTGCAAAGAACAACATATTATGATATATTACAGCTCAAGGATATACAGGGTGTGAATAGATGGTGGTGGTTATGTTAAATTTTCAGTCTGCTTATACTTGGTGGTGGTTACATAACAGTCTTTCTGGTATGACTGATAGAACAATAATCACCAGTTACTGACATCACAGTCTTTCTGGGATCACTGATAGTACAATAATCACCAGTTCCTGACATCACAGTCTTTCTGGGATCACTGATAGAACAATAATCACCAGTTCCTGACATCACAGTCTTTCTGGGACCACTGATAGTACAATAATCACCAGTTGCTGACATCACAGTCTTTCAGGGATCACTGATAGTACAATAATCACTAGTTGCTGACATCACAGTCTTTCTGGGATCACTGATAGAACAATAATCACCAGTTGCTGACATCACAGTCTTTCTGGGATCACTGATAGTACAATAATCACCAGTTACTGACATCACAGTCTTTCTGGGATCACTGATAGTACAATAATCACCAGTTACTGACATCACAGTCTTTCTGGGATCACTGATAGTACAATAATCACCAGTTACTGACATCACAGTCTTTCTGGGATGACTGATAGTACAATAATCACCAGTTACTGACATCACAGTCTTTCTGAGATCACTGATAGAACAATAATCACCAGTTACTGACATCACCGTCTTTCTGGGATC